AAAGGTAGATAAATTCAATTTCCTTACAATTTCGCTTGAAATTAAACTTATTTGTGAACCACTGTCAAGTAAACACCGAACCACAAAAATTGTTTCCATTTTTTAATTTAATTTTAGCCTTTATAGTTGGCAAAAGAACATTATCATTTTTTAGATGATAAGAATTTGCAACTTTTACCTAATGTCCTCCTGATGTTTCCAAATGCAACAAACTGTTGTGGTCTCTGGAATAAGTCTGGCACTTTATTCTTTATTTTCCAAAATGAACATTAAGACAAAGCCTGCAACATTTATGTTTATTAATGAAAGAAATTCTATCACTTACCGTAAAGTTTTAAATTGCTTGCAGCTATATAATTTATGTCCAGGAATATTGCAACACAAACATTTATCTTTTTTGCCACTATCCAGAGTTAAATGAGAAAATTGTGATTTTTCAAAGCCTTTTCTCTCTACAGAACCACTAGATTCCAATGCAATAGCCCTACTTTCTAAATAATTCAAAAACTCATTTAAAGTGGGCAACTTTGATGTGTCTCTGTCCATTTGATGAGATCTATTAGTGTAGTGATCTAATTTTTTGGAAAGAATACATATCAAGATCATGTCCCATTGATCTATGGGCTGTTTCAAATTTTTCAAAGCACCAATTTGTTGTTTGATCCTGCTTATAAACTCTCTTAAAGCTATGGGTGTGCCATTTTGAATATTAGGAATTTCTAGAATAGAATTTATATGTGAGTTTATAAGCATGACCTCATTGTCGTATCTGTTATTTAATATATTGAGGGCTTCAGTATAGGAAGAATTTACAATTGGCAAAGTACTTACCAAAGTTAAAGCCTCACCTTTAAGGTAATTTCGCAAATAGAATAATTTTTCTACTTCAGACAAGGTTTGATTTTTGTCAATAACAGCCATAAAAATTTCTACAAAAGGTTTGAAATTATTCAAAATTTTTCCATCAAAATAAGGTATGTCAATATGAGGTAGCTTAGTATTAGAAATGGAACTACTAGTTATATTAGATACTGAAGGATTACTGATTGAATTTACAATATTAACATTGCTATTTGCACTTGAACCCTTAGAAATACGAGCTTTTATTTTAGCACAAATTTCAAAATAAACTAATTCTATTTCCTCTGATTTATCAGCTTCTTTAGGATTCAAGAGCAAAAGCTGTATTTGAGTGGTTTGGAATTTTTCAAAATTATTGTCTAATGATTCTTTACGAACGTTCAATTGATTGAACAACAAATCAGACAATGGTTCATCCTCATGATCCATTAGAAATCTATCAATTCTAGACATGCTAGACTTAATTTGCTCCATGGTAACATTGAGCTTAGCTATTTCTTTTCTAGCCATAATTAATACTTAATATTAGTTACAATAAACGAAAACTTAAATCTAAAAATACCTCAGCCAAAACAGCTTTCCTTTGAATATTCTTTATGCGGTGCTAAACTGAAAATTCACTCATCTTTTTAATATCGCACGGAAAAAACAGCACAACACTGGAATACTGGAAATTACAGTTGCTTCAAGTTAATTTTTAATGAAGGGAAACATCCAGGGATCCAAACTGCAGATCATAAACAAATTGAATAATTGTCAATATCAATAATTGTCAATTTGAAAAATTGTCAATTTCAAGACACTGTTACCGTAGAGAACATCCAAATAAACAAATATAATTTTTAATCAAAAATTCCTAAAATTAGGGTACTTTCCTGAGATTTGTCTGCAAAATTCACTGGAATACTCTTCGGAATCTTGATTTTAAGCACTGGAGCACAATATCCTGGCTCTCGAAGGACCAATATGTGGGATGCAAACTCGCACATGGGGTAAAATGAAAGCCTTCGCACTTTCACTAAATTGTAACATATATTAATATGAATACATTTCATACTGGAAAGATACCCAGAAGGTAGAGCTTTCAAATGAGGTACGAAACCTGCATTTAACTTATACATGGAATATTAGCTTGAGAAAATGAGGAGCGACATGCTCATGTTCTAACATCTTTCAAGACTTGACAATACTAGCAAAAATATGAAGTTGTCACGTCTGGTGCATAGTTACACATGGCCAACCAATATAGTTGGATATTGTATCCAACACACGGATCCCTTCTCTCCTAGGAAAGGAAGTATTTCAGTGTCTCCATTCTTGAAACTGGGGAGCAGCGTTTCCAGGAAAACGAGTGTTCCGTCTTTCTCAATGATATGCAAATGATAATATAAGTAACAAAGACGGAAACTCGTTCTCCTGGGAACAGTGCTCCCGCTCCCCTGTTTCAAGAATAAGGACCCAGATATGCAAGGTGATTAAGGTGAAGCACTGATTCCCTTGCCGAATTAGGCGCCCGCCATAGAAAAACCTTATTGTAGAGAGAAATAGATTTTATTTCTATATTTTCTACAAAAAAATTCCCATATCACATAGAATACGCTGGAAAATATTGGTCTAGACTTGCCTTGGGGGGGGGGGAGGGGGGGTGCAACCCGGCAGCGTGGATACGCCTATGATATGACCGCTTATAAACTGTCAGAGACTCTTCTCGTGAGAACCGACCTTAAGGTCAAGTTATACAATTTTGGTCCAAAACAGTGTTCAGCTAAACTCGACTGGTACTTGAACTTCCCCATTCGAAATGCAATGCTGTCAAAATTGAAAAAAATAAGTTGATTAATAGCTGACAGCAATGTATTTTAAATGGGAAAGCTCAACTACTAGATCGAGATTTTACAACTGGGCCTAGATACTCAACAAACCAAGGCCTAAGGGTGTTTTCTTGCGTCTCAAAGTTTTCAAAAAATTTTCAAAACTGGTTTAAAACAGTTTCACAATAACGTCATAACTTCTCGGCGGGAGAAAATGGTTTGAAAATTTGGATTGGATTGTATTTCGAAACGGTTTGAACCAATTTTGTATGACGTCATGGGTTCATCGGTATACTATTTCAAACCTGTTTTGAACCAGCTTCAAAAAAGTGAATGCGACAAAACAGCTCAATTGATGATAAAATCTTAGAAGAAAATTGTCTATAGACAACCAAGAGCCGGTATAATTTAAAATATCGAATATTTAGGGCCCAAAATATGGTTAGTCGGCATCAAATTTTTTGACATATGACATATGATGAATGACTGGCGACAGCTTACAGTTCAAGTTGGAGCAATTAATAATAAAAATGTTGTCTATATTACCGGCTGTTTCTTGATTGCCTCCAGGAAAATTCTACAGCCAATCAAAAACCAGTAATATTTAAGATTCGAGCTTTAAGAAAATCATTCAACAAATTATATTATGATCATCACTGGCTCTTGAATTTCTCTCAAAAGTTGATAGTAATAAAATTTTACCGGCTATTTAGCAAAAAATGACGTAAATTATAATGATAGGTGATTGAATTGACAAGTGACAAGTGACAGATAAGGCCAGCTCACGGTCATCTCGTGCGCTACAGTGGCTAAATAAACCTTTACATACAGTGGCGACAATAGAGGTCCCGCCGCCATTTTGTTCCCAACCTCATGTTACTTTTAAATATGAATTTATAGGTTTTAAATGGACATCTTTCATAAAAAATTGAAATCGACGTATTTGATGACTATTATTAGGTCCATCAAATACGTTGTTTCCATGTTTTATGATGGATGTTCACCCAAATCCCATATATTCATATTTGAAATAAGCAATAGATGGGAACAAGATGGCCGCGTTCTCAATATAAATATATGGGATTTTAGAACCAATCAAAAATAAGACAGCAATTGTCGCCACTGTGGGTAATAGAGTCACTGTATCGTGCGCTACATCTGTGCCTTCTTAACGAATCAAGAGCCAGAAAAAAATTCCAGCCATTCAAGGGCTGGTAATAATCAAAATATCGGATCTCAATCCATCTAATGTTGAGTTTTACTTTTAATTTTTACTTATTTCTTCTAATAAAAACAAATTGTTTGAACTAAAAACTTGTGCTTTATTGGCTGACAACATTTTACAAAGATCAACTACTCATCCAACTGTCAACAACTGCTAGGTATACAATCAGATTTTTCTTAATTTCTGACAGAACAATAACTGTCAAAACTACTTTCCGTGCAGTCCATTTTTTTCGAAATCGGTACGGTTTTAAGGCATTTATGGCCCTTATGAGTTCAAAATCTGAAAAAATTTGCTTGAAATTGAGTTTTTTTTTTTCTAATGATTTTCGATATAAATTAGGGCCGAATTTATAGTCGCTCCTTGAGGTTTCCTAAGACCTCAAGGAAGCCTCACGACCTTTAAGGCAGACTCAAGGAATGACTATAAATTCGGCCTTTGGATATCGAAAATTATTTCCGCTACACCAGGCAACTAGAAAAAAAAAATGGACACTTTTTTTTTAGTGGTCAATTTTAATTTCTTGTGTTTTTTAACTGAAAATAATTATTTGGCAACACTGTCTCTGTGCGAAGACGCGACGAACGTGGATGAGGTTCGACTTCGAAGTGGGAAATTGAAAAATCTGGCTCCGTTAGGTTCTAACCAGTATCCTAAAGAACAAGGGTTAAGCATAACTCCAGGACACATTGCAACTGGACACGTTAACCCTGGAGTTAAAACCAACTCGGAAGTGGCTATTGAGAAACCGGCCCTAAAGACCATAAGTGCCCTAAAAATGTACCGATTTTGAAAAAAATGGACACAATGTTGATGAAGAAAGTATTAATCACCTGTCAAAAGATGAATATGGAACCCTGTAAATCATTGTTGATACAATAAATTAAGAGTCGCGCCTATTGAAATCGTCAGAGAAGAATGCAATAATTTTTGAAATAAATAAAACCGAACACGGATTTGTTCGTGTTCACGATTTGAATACGTAATTTTTTTCAAATGTTAAGGTTGCAATTTTATTTAAATTTTTCTACCCACAAATTATTGTTTTTGTTTCCAATAAGATCAATAATTGCAATAATTTATATAAATAATGTTTTTTCCAGTTAGCAGTTCTGGTGCATTTAGTGGAGCTACTTCTGGATCAGAAATTACTTCTGGATCTTCTAAACCATCAATAGACAATGGAAGCTACAAAGTAATTGAGTCGCCAAAATATTCCACAGGATATTCTTCTGGAAACGGTGGAGGTTCCAAAACTAATTACGTTGTGAGTGGAAATTATGCACAACAAGTTCCAGCTGGAGGTTGCTCAACCTGCAAACAAACCTCTCCAGTAATCGTACCCCTACCCTTGACCCCAACCTCCAACCATCACACCTCATCCTATTCTGGATCCAAAACTTCTTCCTACCAACATATTTCTCCAAGCTTGATTGCTACTTTCCCTGGACCTTCCGGGAGCATTTTGGATAGCAAACCTGCCACACCATCTCATGCCACTAGTGCCAATTCTGGATCATACAATAATGTTGTAATTGCAAAACATCCACAACATGGAGGAATTCACGAAATTATCGCTATACTTCCTGGACCTTCTGGAAGTATTTACGATAACAAACCAGCTAATGGACAAAAACCTAATAATGGCGCTGGATCAACTTACATTAACCATTCTGGATCGGCAGCCAATGCTGGATCGTCTTCCACATCGTATAATGTTCCAGCTGTAGCACCTTCATCTTCTGGTAAATATTTGCAAACTAAATTTCTTCATTATGATTGTTTTTTTTTTTAGGCAACAATCATGTATTCCCTGGACCATCTGGAAGCATCCACGATAGTAAACCAGCAAATGCTGGATCAACTTCAACATCTTACAATATTCCAGCTTCGCATCCAGTTGTTGGACCAGTTTGCAGCTACACCCCTGGATCACCTAATAAATGTGGATCGAACATTCCAGCTTCACATCCAGATGTAGCACCTGCTCCTTCAAGTAAATTATTGCAAAATGAAATTTCCACATGTTTTTTATTTTTTCTTGTAGGTCCCAGTCATGTATCCCCTGGAATATCTGCAAGTATTCACGATAGCAAACCATTTGGAGCTGTTTCAGGCTCTTCTGCCAATGCTGGATCAACTTCAACATCGTACAATATTCCAGCTTCACATCCAGTTGTTGAACCCGTTTGCAGCTACACCCCTGGATCACCCAATAAATGTGGATCAACTGCCCCATCATACAACGTTCCAGATGTTGCACCTGCTCCTTCAGGTTATCTATTGCAAAATTGAATTTCTACATACTTCTTTACATAATGTTTCCTTGTAGGCCCCAATCATGTATTCCCTGGACCTTCTGGAAGTATACACGACAGTAAACCAGCTGGAGGAAGCTCTGCTTCCGCAAATGCTGGAGCAATTGCTGGATCAACTTCAACATCGTACAACATTCCAGCTTCACATCCAGTTGCTGGACCCGTTTGCAGCTACACCCCTGGATCACCTAATAAATGTCCATCAACTGTACCATCATACAACGTTCCTGCATCAAATCCAGATGTAGCACCTGCTCCTTCAGGTAAACTATTACAAAATGAAATTTCTACAAACTTCCTAATGCAATGTTTCCTTATGTAGGTCCCAGTCATGTATTCCCTGGGCCTTCTGAAAGTATCCACGATAGTAAACCAACTGGAGCTGTTTCAGGCTCTTCAGCCAATGCTGGAGCAATTGCTGGATCAACCTCAACATCGTACAATATTCCAACTTCACATCCAATTGTTGGACCAGTTTGCAGCTACACCCCTGGATCACCCAATAAATGTGGATCAACTTCAACATCCTACAACATTCCTGGATCAAATCCAGTTGCTCCTTCAAGTAAACTATTACAAAATAAAATTTCCACAAACTTCCTAATGCAATGTTTTCTTATATAGGTCCCAGTCATGTATTCCCTGGACCTTCTGGAAGTATCCATGATAGTAAACCGGCTGCAGCTGTTTCAGGCTCTTCCAATGCCAATGCTGGAGCAGCTGCTGGATCAATTTCGACATCGTACAATATTCCAGCTTCACATCCGGTTGTTGGACCAGTTTGCAGCTACACCCCTGGATCTCCCAACAAATGTGGATCTTCTGGAACTGGTACTGATTGATTTATAACCAAAATTTTATTGAATTATTCTTCAAATTGTAGATGTAGCCAACGTTGCTGGATCAACTTCAACAGTCTACAATAATCATGGATCAGCAAACAATGTCGGATCAGATTCATCAAATAGTGGTTCTGGATCGATTACCTACAACCCTTACTCCGCCCAACCTCATCCGTCTTCAAACTCTGGCACTTACTACATCGACAAACCTTCTTCAAACATTGAACCGCCACTATCCAGCTCCGCTCCAAGCTTTTCCGGCCAAATTCCTTGCAAAGACAACAATTGTGGATCTGGTATCGTCTACGACGATAAAAAAGATCACTCTGGTCAGTATCAGCAAATCAACCACGACCAAGCGCACCTCTCTGGTGGTATAGTTTACCAAAACGAAGACGGCAGCTACAGTAACAATCCAACAACTCCAAAAACTATTTACAAAAATGCTGAACATGGTGGTCACGCTGTCAGCAACAGCGAAGATCAGGGTGGGATTCTGATCGGTCCAGGAACTGGCAATTTGCCCGTTGAGCAAAACGATAAGGTGCCTTTTGGTTCTGCGCCTGGTGGATCAGAAACTTTTGTTAAAAATGCCGCACAAAGTGGATCAGAAACTTCTGACAAACATGTTCCATTTGGATATGCAGCTGGTGGATCGCACGCTAAAAGTGGATCAGAAACTTTTGACAAAAATACTCCGTCATCTGGATTTGCAACTGGTGGATCGCACGCTCAAAGGGGATCAGAAAATGCTCCATATGGATCTCATGAAGAATCTGACTCAGTTATCATTCAAAAATCGGACGAAGTTGCAATTCAAAAACATTCTGGATACAATTCAAACAACAATTTCGGATCTGGATACGCCACTGGACAAGTTTTAATAAATCAAGGCAATAACGTTTATGATGCAACCAATTCTGGATCGAATGAGATTGGGTCTAAAACTGGACATTCTGGACAAAATCTAGCATTCGGAGTGAGTTCTGGTGGATTGCTCAATACGCTTTTTGGGCACGGAGGTTTGTCTGGATCAAGTGCTGGAGCCGGTTATCATAAATCTGGAGGTGGCAGTGGTGCTTATTCCAGCTCTGGAGCAAATGGAGTCGGTTATCAAAACTCTGGAGCTGGCAGTGCTGCTTATTCAAGTTCTGGATCTTACGCTAGTGCAGGTGAGGATTGAATTGTTTTTTTTTTTGAGTTTTTAAGCTTTTTCTTTTTGACAAAGTTTCAACTTTGAGGCTCAATATCTCAAAAACTATAAAAGATATTAAGCTCAATCTTGTTTTATCTTAAAGAAAATTTAATTCTGATTAAGAATATATCAATATGTATTCAAATTTTGTGAAATATTAATTGAGTTATGGGCGATTTTCTGGGGCAATGTCGGATGATCAAAATTCTCTCCTTTCCTTTCAGAATTGAGAATTTCAGGATCCTATAGTTTTCTCAGAGAAAAACAGAACATTTGTGAAAAAAAAAATCAGAATCTAAGAATTTTAAGAAATCAGACAGAATCCAAAAATCCTGAGAATCTTCCTCTTAGAGGAAGAGCTTTGGGAGTCTTTTCAGAAAAGAATCAAAAAGTTAGTAAAGCAATATGATTAGAATTGAGAATCTTTAAATTTTTAGAACTTTTCAAAAAAAAAAATTCGCGGTTTTGAGAATTCAAAATTTCAGGATCCTGCAGTTTCCAAAGAGAAATTCTATTTTTCGTCTCCATATTTTCTTCTCAAGTATCATGTTGAAAAAAGACAGTAGGTATTAAATTTTCTTTTGAAAATGGACATTCAATTAGAAAACACTCTATACACGTAACGCGTATCCACAGTAGTCAAATATCAATACATCAATTGGAATTAATGTTGTCAGTGATCTACTTTACCGACCGACAGATGTTTGACGTTTAAATTTTTTGACACAATCCTTTATCAAGTAGGCCCATACATTTACTTAATCAAATTTCAAAAAATGATGCCTTCTTTTATCCATTTTCGTCGGTCCTTCTCTAATCATTAATGTTGAAAAAAGACGGTATTAGGCTTTCTTCTTAAAATGGACATTCAATTAGAAAACACTCTGTATACGGAACGCGTATTAGCAATTATTAAATGTCAATACGCCAACTGGATTTAATGTTGTCAGTGATCTACTTTACCGACCGACAGATGTTTGACATTTAAACTTTCTAATACAATCCTTTATCGAGTAGACCATGCATTTACCAAATCAAATTTCAAACAATGGTGCTTTTTTTAATCCATTTTCGTCGGTCCTTCTCTAATCATTAATGTTGAAAAAAGACAGTATTAAGTTTTCTTTTCAAAATGGACATTCAATTAGAAAACACTTTGTATATGGAACGCGTATCAACAGTTGTCAAATGTCAATATGCCAACTGGAATTATAATATTGTTAGCGATCTACTTTACCGACCGATATATGTTTGACGTTTAAAGTTTTTGACACAATCCTTTATCAAGTAGGCCATACATTTACCCAATCAAATTTCAAAAAATGGGGCCTTCTTTTATCCATTTTCGTCAATCCTTCTCTCATCATTAATGCTGAAAAAAGACAGCATTAAGTTTTCTTTTTAAAATGGACATTCAATCAGAAAACACTCTGTATACGAAACGCGTATTAGCAGTTGTCAAATATCAATACGCCAACTGGAATTGTCAGCGATCTACTTTACCGACCGACAGATGTTTGACGTTTCAACTTTCTGACACAATCCTTTATCAAGTAGGCCACGCATTTACCCAATCAAATAAGTTTATTAATTTATAAAAAATATATATTTATAAATTAGTGTAAAAAATACATAGATAAAATAGAAAATTACCTATATAGAAGGTACATAATCGATTATTTACAGTAAAACCGACCAAAAATTGATCTTTTTGTATGATAAAGCTTGAAATAAATTGCATAAAATCCTAAATGATTTACCTGTAATTAGATTTATCAATGATTTTAATCTAATTTTAACCTAAAATTTTGAATTATTCAATATTGCCTATAAATATTAATGAGTATAAAGTATGAAAAATTGGAAAAACTTACAAAATTTGACTAGAAAGATTTTCAAAACATGAAAAATCGAATTCGAAATATTAGTGGCTCTTGGTTGGTCTTAGGAAAATTATCCAGCGAATCAAGAGCCAGTAAATAGTAAAAATTTGGATCCTAAACACCTTGTTGAGAGATTCATTGAGTATCAAAATTTGAATTATTTTCGTTTTTTTCTTTCTCTTTCTGATCTTTCAACTTCTCAAAATTTCTTTTATTTTCAATTTCCAATCGTCCATGGAACGTTGTTAATCATAACTCAACTGACAGCTTCTGAGTCAAATATTAAGTTTTAATTTATTCTATTTTATCGGAGTTGCTCAGAAAAGTCAAAAATATCTGATAGCTAGATAGATAGATCCATTAGTTTATGTCTGAGAAATTCAAACTTATTACAGGCTTGTCAATGTTAATTTTACTCAAAAAATGTCCAAATTAAAAAATTCGTAATTCCATTATTTGTTGTATAATCGCCTCGAATTTATAGTATGTGTCGCCTCGAACTATGAAAAATAGATTCTCCAAATTTCATCTTTGTGCGTCCATTGGTTTTTGTTTGCGAAATTTGAGCTTAGAGGCTTGTCAATGTAAAATTTATACTGAAAAAATGTCTGAATTAAAAAATTTGTAATTCCATTGTTTGGTGTCTAGTCGCCTCGAAATTTCAGTATGTTTCGCCTCGAACTTTAAAAAACAGATTCTCCAAATTTTATCTTTATGCGTCCATTGGTTTTTGTTTAAGAAATTTAAACTTGGAGGCTTGTCAATGTAAAGTTTACTCAAAAAATGTCGAAATTAAAAAATTCGTAATTCCATTGTTTGTTGTCTAATCGCCTCGAATTTTTAGTAGGTATGTTTCGCCTCGAACTTTTAAAAATAGACTCTCCAAATTTCATCTTTGTGTCTCCATTGATTTTTGTTTGAGAAATTTGAACTTAGAGGCTTGTCAATGTAAAGTTTACTTAAAAATGCCCAAATTAAAAAATTCGTAATTCCATTGTTTGTTGTCTAATCGCCTCGAATTTTTAGTATGTTTCACCTCGAACTTAAAAAAATAGATTCTCCAAATTTCATCTTTGTGCGTCCATTGGTTTTTTATTTGAGAAATTTGAACTAAGAGGCTTGTCAATGTAAAGTTTACTTAAAAATGCCCAAATTAAAAAAATCGTAATTTCATTGTTTGTTGTCTAATCGCTTGGAATTTTTAGTATGTTTCGCCTCGAACTTTTAAAAATAGATTGTCCAAATTTCATCTTTGTGCGTCCATTGGTTTTTGTTTGATAAATTTCAAATTAGAGTAGTGGCGGCTCGTCAGAGGAGGCAGGGGAGGCTAAACCTCCCCCCAAAAAAATTGAAAATTCAATCTCAATTTTTTTATTCCTAATTTCTAATTAAAATAATAATTCACAAATTACACAACAGAATACCAATTTTCGATATTTCAATGTAATTTAGAAAAATCTGACAACATTATTTCAATCAATCCCGCGCCTCCACGACAAAAATCAGTGAATCTGGGATACTCAGTAATAGGAGCCCGAAGGGCCGGAGTTATACGTGAGCCCGAAGGGCCAGAGTTATTTTAATCACGAGGCTCAGTCTATAATTCTATTGGTCAGCGGATAATTTGAAGCCAATTAAAAACCGGGAGTATTTTAAATGCGATTTTTAGCATCCAATCAAAGAGCCGGGAATATTCGAAAACTTTAGTTTTATCAAATTGACTTTGGAATGTTGGTTTTCTATGGGATTTTTTCAAGATTTTTACTTTTTTCAGAAAACGGTGGTTTTTGCAAACATATACTACTTTATCGTTGTCTTTGTTTTACTCACTATAAGTAAACCTTATAATGTCATTTTCATTGAAATTAAACTAAAAACAAGTTTCCTTATGATTTATTTGGGGAATTTTAATTATTATAATCATTATTAATTAATTATTAAATTGAATTTTGAACAAAAAACCCTTTTAAAATGTTATTTTTGTTCACCGAGATGAGATGTGGCAACGTTGCTTTTAGTTGGCCATTTTGAAGTGACGTCTTGTGATTTTTTGCCAGTTTTTTTTCGAATTTTCGACTTTTCCGGGGTTTTTTAATGGAAAAAAGCGATTTAACATACGAGGTTTTGAGTTTTCTTCATTTTTTAATAAAAATTTCTAGTTTCAAATGCCATAATTAGCAAAATCCCATTCAAAATGCTTTTGATGTGGCAACATCGCTTGTGGCTAACTTCAATCAAGGAAGCATTTTTGACAGTCGGCCATTTTCAATTGACGTGTTTACATTTTTATTCAGTTTTACTTCGAATTTTTTACTTTTCCGGGGCTTTATCAGTCGGGAAAACTGATTTAAAGTAAAGTATAAGTTTAAAGTAGGCTTTGAGTTTTCTTCATTTACCACCAAAAATTTCCAGTTTTTCAACGGGGGGTAAGTGAGAAAAACTTTAGTTTTATCAAGTAGGTTTTGGAATGTCATTTTCGTTGGTTTTTTTTTTTGGAATTTTTAACTAGGGTTTTTGGGGTCCGGCGATCGTTTTCCACCACTTTTTCTCGAAATTCGCAGAATAAAAAAATACATTTTTTTGACGTTGACAGCTGTCAAATTTTTTTGACACAAATCGATAGTTGGCGTCTTGAAACTGCCTGTTGACTGTACCGGGGTTTGATTTTCGTAGCTTTTCTAGTAGAGCGGGGAAAAAGTCGAACATGTGTCAAATTTGATAGGTGACATCTGTCGATATCGACAAAAGTCTTATCCGAACGAAACCATTCATTGTCAACTGATTTTAATACTCCCGTAATCTTTAAAACAAAAAGACCTCATTTTGTATCGATTGTCAAAAAAACCAAAGTCTACTTTGAAATTTCAATTTTTTGACGTTTGTGAGCAGTGTTGCCATATGTTTTTTTCAAATCTCGAGCTCGAAGGGCTGAGATTATAGATTATTTTAAACCCAATCAAGAGCCGGGAATAATCAAAATTCGAATCCCCCAAACCAATCAGAAGCCGGGAAAATTCAAAAATTCGAATTCCAAACCCGACGGGAAATTGAATTTTTTGTACCAACTGTTGCTACAAATGAATTCATTAAATTT